TAATGACTCGTTCCACGCAATGTTATGGTTAGTTTGAAACACATGTTCCTCCAAGTCTGATTTTGAACTGTCTAAGTTCGAAACGGCCTTTTGATGTTCGTTTAAACGTATGCCGAACTGACGTTTTGTTTCACCTAGATATTCTTTCTCGCAATCACCACATGTTATAGAGTATACAGCATCTGTTTTCAGTTTAGTCGCTACGCGATCTTTGGGTTTCGCGAAAATATGTCCCAGTGTCTGAAAGGTTTTTCCTTCCTGAGATTACGTATAGATGGTTGTTACCATTCTATACAGAGATGGGTAATAAACCTCTCTACTAAGGAGCTAACGGAGATTGAAAGGAAAGGACTAGAGCATGGTCTTAAGTTTGCTATTTCACCAAGGCGAATTCCAATAGCTGAAATTGTCGCTTCGGTTGAAGAAGGAATTTTTCACCTTAACGACAAAACTAAGCTAACGGTAAGAGCTGAAGTCAGTAGCATCCTCAGACGTGCTAAGGCTCCCCGAGAAATATTTACAGTAACGTATTCAAAGCTTTGCTTTCTTTGAAGAAAGATCGGGACAGGGTTGTGCTCTGAGCAGATAAAGGCAATGTTGTTGTTGTAATGGACAGAGAAAACTATCGCGAGAAAGCGAGTGCATTGCTCAATGACAAAAACACCTATAGTGTCCTTAAGTCTGACCCAACTGGTAAGGCTGAAAGAGAATTGAAAAAACGCCTATTACTCTTTAAGAAAGCTAACAAAATTAGCGAGGTCACTTTACCCTATCGTGTCTTTTGTCAATTCTCCCACTTATACTCTTTCGAGGTATTTGGCTAGAATCATTGTCTCCTACTTTTGGGAATACTGTCTACACAGTAAAAAACTCCACTCATTTCGCGGAATTTATTAGAGGTGAAACTCTAAACACAGACCAAGTGCTCGTATCGTTTGATGTCGTTTCCTTTGTTTACCAAAATCTCTGTCAATCTTGTTATCAAAGTTGCTGAAAAAAGACTCACAGAAGATATTTATTTACAGTAGCGTAGCCAGCCTGACGATTTGTCCCGCTATGCTAATATTTTGGTGTTCATTGAATATGAACACAATGAATTTCTAAAGAAATGAATAATGATAATAACTCGAAATTTACATAGCGGGACAGAATCGTCAGGCTGGCTACGCCACTGTTTATTTATCACAAAGAACATCGTTTCCTGTGGAGGATATAATCGATTTTTTATTCTTTTGTCTCAATACGAGTTATTTTACTTTCGAAGGCAACTATTACCTGCAGGTTTTGGGACAGCGATGGGATCCCCGATCTCGGCAGTAATTGCTAACCTAGTAATGGAAGATGTCGAGCAAAGAGCTTTAGCCTTTAGCCGCATGTTGACGATTCGGCCTCTGCGGTTAACAAAAATGAGATCGATAATTTGTTGAAACATTTGAATTCTATTAAGCCATCAATTCAATTAACTGTAGAGCACGAGTGAGGGAAACATGGCTTTCTTGGATACTTATGTTCATAGAAATATTGAAGGGCAGTCAGAAACTGATGTTTACCGTAAACCTACACATACGGACAAATATCTATCCTTCTACTCACACCATCCAAAAGGTCATAAAAAGTCTGTGGCAAAAACTTTGTTTCAAAGAGTTGAATCGTTAACATCCAATCGCGTTGCTGGGGACAACGAGCGTGATTATGTCCTCACTGTACTGAGAGAGAACAATAATCCACGAAACTTTTCAAATGAATGTCTAAAATCCCTGTCCCGACTAGATGCAATTCCTCAGGGGGTGATTCCTAAAAAACAGGTTTTGTTATAGTTCCATACATTCAGGGAATTGCAGAACCAATCATGAGGATCCTGAATAATCGTGGTATAAAATTTGCTTAAAACCCTTTCAGACACTGGGACATATTTTCGCGAAACCCAAGGATCGCGTAGCGACTAGACAGAAAATTCATGCGGTATACTCTAAAACATGTGGTGATTGCGAGAAAGAATATCTAGGTGAAACAAAAACGCCAGTTCGGCACACGTTTAAAAGAACATCAAAAGGCCGTTTCGAACTTTGAAAGTTCAAAATCAGCCTTGGCGGAACACGTGTGTCAAACTAACCATAACATTGCGTGGAACGATTCAAAAGTCATTACCACTAATTATCGTTATGGACAAAGGCGTTGTTTGGAAGCCTGGCATATTAATGCGAGTCCTTGTGTCCTATATAGGGATGACGGAAGCTATTTGCCAAAAGAATATTTACATCTAATTGATAGATAACGTCATCTTGAGAGTATATAAGGAATCGAGTTTCGCATATTCACTCCCAAAAATAATTGCAGTACCGAGCAGCATTATGTAAATCGCACATGATTTTATCATCTACAAATTTTGAGGAAAGATATTATTGATAAAATACATTACTGGTGGATTCATAGAAAAATGTATGATTATACCCTCTCATGCTCTATTGACACTATTTGTGTCTCAATGCTCAACAGACAGCACACAAGTTAGCAGCTGTGATTCCTAATGTCCATCTGTCATTTTTGAATACTATTTACAGTCTACATATAGGTATTGCCGCATAAAATTGTGTCAGTTCCCCCTACCATGTACAATGAATGGGCTAATCCTTTCTGTCGCTCTAGTCTGTGTTCAGGCTAATGGGTAAAGTCATGACTTTTCGGTTTTATGAAAGGGGCAGGCATCAGCCATTTGTAATTGTAATATGACAAATTAATACACACCCGATATGGCGAGTTATTAAATGTAACATAATTGTACTGGAACATCATAGTCTAGCTATAGAACTATGTCTTCAATCAGAGCTTGTGCATGCAATTTTAATTCTCCATTTCGTTTGCACTGTTTAAACATAAAGTCACAATAAATTCATATTGCTCACCACCAGGTTTAGCAGTTCATCTCGTTATTTATGCACATCAATTAAGTGTCCCCCCCCCGTGATCCTCAATTTAGCGTGCCGGAATTGCGAAATGCGACTAAATAACGCACACAAATATATATGGCGCACCCTGAGGGTGAGTACATTCGAATGGAGTATCTATTGAGTGGTTATAATCGGATCTTAGGAGTATAAGCACGCGTCTGCACATGCCCACCAATAATGCGGCATCTTCGTTGAATGTAGGGCCACTACTTGCAGAATAAGTTTTGGATTGTGTTGGTGAGAAATCGCCTGCATCCTGTTGCCCTTTTGGAGAATAGGCGCCATACATTTCTCCAAATCCGTATCCTTGAATCCGACGCGATGCCCTAGCTTCATATATCGAGATCTTCAACGATTCTCAGTTTAAGTAATTTAAGAAGTATTTAATACTGCAAAGCTTTCGGTCTGTTAATGCGGGCCTTCATCGGGAAAAATCCCTGAATTAACATTTACACGTAACTAAAATAACACGTTAGTCGTGATTTGTTAGCCCACGCCAGTAATTAGCGGGTTTCAATTACGAAATAATGATGAAAAAGATATAGTTTTAATTAATGCGCGTGTCCTAGACAAGTATTTAGCTAGCAGACATTGAAAAAAGCACGCCACGTACTATTGAGCAAGAAAAGATTAAAACTATTTATTAGAACTTTATTAGAACTATTTCTTTTTCATAATTATTTGGTATGTGAATGTGGCGAGCTAACAAATCACGACTAACGTGATATTAAATGACGTGTATAAACAGTGTAAATGTGTATCCAGGTAATTGCACCTACAGTATGAAGACCCGGGTTAACGGCCCGATAGCTTTGTAGTATTAAATACTTACCTGGTGTACCTACAAGCTAAATTACTTATCGAGTGTCACCATGCAAACACAAGAGGATTCTGAGTTTTTTCTTCATCGGTCATCACCATCGAATCCGAACGTGGAGGAGCTGTAAACAAATCCTACTAATGACCGTGAACATTCATTTGGAAATCAAGATGAGCAGCTTGATCAGCCTTGGAAAAAAAGCAAAATTATTTTAAAACAAACAATAAACAAAGATCGAGATTTTGACCGCTGTATATAGCTCGAGCCTCAAGTGAAAAGTCATAGAGAAATCTATTTTAACAAATTTTATTGCAGTTTCACTTTGCACTACTGTGATTGCAGCAACATTCAGATAACTGACTCAAGCATAGATGTGTAAATAAATAATTGCATAGATAAATAAATTGATCACGCCACAATCACGCTACATGTTCTGACATGTCTTTTTTTATATAATATTAGATGCTTTTTCAAGTTTAAACATTTTTTGCATAGCCACAGTTGCTTGTTTAATATGTTACTAAAAAAATCCTAACATAAATCCTGAAGGAATTTGTCGTTATTTATGCACATTAAGTGTTTCTCCCCGAGTAATCAGTCTGCCGGATTTGCAAAATGCAACTAAAAAACGAACATAAATATATATGGCAACCTATGAATGAGTACATTCGAATGTAGTATATATATTTAGCTGTTATATAATTGCTATTATATAAGTTATATAAAATTCGCACCTGAGTACTTTGATGCGATTTTTACGAGAGTCTTAATACTGTTAAAAATGTGTAGTTTTTTTGGCGAACTTAAATTTTAAAAGCTTTCTAATTACTTTATACAAATTATAAAATTTTCCGAGGCTACCTTCATAGTGGTTTAATATTTGGGTGTATAAAATTAATACTGCATGTATTAAGTACCATGTCTACAAAGTAAAAAGATTGCTTGTTAGCGCAAAGATCACTAAAAAGGCAGCTTGTTTAAACGAATGCGGATTGCCCAGTGTTATGATAAGGCTGCATGGTCAGATGAGGGGTATAAATATCTGGACGTGCCTCCAATAACGCACCTTTGTTAAATGCAGGACCATGCACTACGCACTTTGTTAAATGCAGAATACGTTTCGGAGTGTGTTGGTTAGAAATCGCCTGCATCCAGTTGCCCCTTTGGAGGATTGGCACCAGAAATTTATCCAAATTCGTATCCGCGAATCCGACGAGATGCTGTTCATATCGATGTCCTTCAACGATTCTCAGTTTGTTCTTCATTCACAAATCGAATCCGAACGTAGAGAGGAGCTGAACACAAATCCAAATCAAGATGAGCAACTCGGTCAACCTTGGAAAGGGGAGAGCGAACTTCTTGGCCTTCCTTGGAAAAAAGCTGAGGATACTGAAAACTTCCCTGATATCGATACAATTCTTTGCAAACCGTGACAGTCAGCAAAATTATAAGCCATGCGAATGTATTACAAAGCCATCAGTGCATGTTCCTACATCTGCAAACCCTGCAGACTTGCATGGGTAGTCGTGGCGTCAGTGACACGTCAGCAGCGTTGTGGTGGAAATGTCTAGTCTAGTTGGCTGATCCAGATGAATGGCCACCTCAGATCGTGAAAAGTGCAAAAGCAACAATTGATGCAGAGAAGAAGGGAAATAATGACCTCGATGTATACTCGAAGAGTTCGGCTTGAGTAAAGCCAGGAAGATTGGTGTTTTGGCATCGAAATTCAAGCACAATTCTGGAAATTCTTCCGATAAGATCCAGAGACCCTTAAAGTGCCTATATCATGATCACTTGTGGGATCTTTACGGATTTGAATAGGGCTTGAAAAATTTGTTTATAAGCTCTACAACCTTTTTTGATATAATTAAATAGTTTCCAAAATACGTCGGTTGGGGGGACTGGGACTCAGGAATGATTTGCAAACACGCCGTCTTTTATAATGTAAACTAGAAGAGTTTCACTGGAGATATAGTTTGCGATTTTCAAAAAAAAATGCGGGAACGGTGCGTGTGTATGGTTGTAGCAACTGAGCGAGTTTTTCTCAAAATATTTTACGTTATTGGAAGATCGAAGTAAAATTACAATTGATTATATTATGTTTTACAAGAACTCGGTCCCTGAGTCCCAGGGCCGCGAGCACGACGGAAATTTAGGCAAATCATCATGTTTAGATGTAAATATTTCCACTGAAAACTATTTAACTATATCAAAAAGGGATGTAGAGCTTATAAACTAATTTTTCAAACTCTATTCAAATCCGTAAAGATCCCACAAGTGATAGAGGCACTTTAACAATACAAGAGATTCTAGATCAAGAGTTATTTTGGGTCCGAAGAGCCAATGCAAGAGCGGAAAGTTCGTGAAGGCGAAAGTTCGTGAAGAATTTTGGATTCCTCGGCAATCTTTGCCTTCGTAAGCTGTCAAAGCGAGGCCTAAAGAAACGTTCTGGATGTGAGAGACTTCCTGTTGAACCCATTCCAAGCCCGCCTGCTGAATTTTTGCCCACGAATAGACCGAAGATGATAATTATACCTTCCACAGTAGTCGGCGTGGATTTTCCCGGTACTATCAAATATCGTAAAAGTCCGAAGAAGAGCGTATGGCTTATTACACTTGACAAGTTGACAAGTGCAGCACATAATTACTATTGTGCGGCACATAATTACAATCGCGTTTAGTGAACACATTTTCATTTTCTAATATCTGATATAGCTGTTTTAAGGCCTGTGCCATGCTTTTCTTTGCAAATCAACGTGCCTATACCGATCGTTCGGCTCAAATAATTGTAAACGCACTAGCAAGCAACAATTGCTATTTAGGAATTGCTTATCTTAGATTAGGAGAATGCGCGAAAACCATTCGCTATCGCACAAAAGGTTTAGAAATAAGTGTCTGTGAATTATTTTAAATAAATAATAATATAAGTCTACTGCATTAGTATACATTCACTTCTAACAGAGAGCCACTTTATACATTGTTAATATGTCCTCAATTTTCATGACTTTGGCCATTCCCAAGTCTCACTTGTGGACTGGTGTTGAGGGACTAATCACTCGTTAAGTCCTGTTTTCGGGACGTAAACAAAGGCTCTCTCTTAGAAATGAATGTATACTAATGCAGTAACTTATATTATTATTTATTTAAAAGAGTTAAGGCACTTTTTGGGGACATAAACAAAGGTTCATCCCAAAACAGCCCCATGCTGCATTTTCAATATCACTATCACCTGTCCGATTATCACTATTACAAGTGTCGAACACAATAACACTTCAAAATTCGATAGTGTCAACGAAGGAAATACTCTTCCATGCGAGGTATATACATTAATTAACCTCTTCTAATAAGTTTTTACATAATTTTGTTTAAGGTCTGAAGTAAGGATACAGACACCTGAAAAGGTAATAAAATGGATTTGAAATCTTCAAAATCTGTCAGTGCAAACAATGATCCATTAGAAAGAGCAAACACCACTCTCAACTTAGGTGATACCCATTTTAGATTAGCAGAGTATAAAAAGGCTATTACCTATTACATTAAATATAGGGAAATTTCACTGAAATTGGCAATTTTCAAGGATTAGCAACTGCCTGTGAGAAACTGGGTTCTGCCCGTTTACATCTAGGACAGCATGAAGAGGCTATCGAGTATTTTGCAACAAGCTTAGAAATTTTCACTCAATTTGACAATCACTCAGGAGTGGCAACTAACAATGGCAATTTAGGCACTGCCTATTATAGTTTAGGAGAGCATGACAAAGCTATTGACTATTTCAAAAAAGGTTTGGAAATCAGTGCTGCTATTTGCGACAAGTCAGGAATAGCAAAAATTAATGGCAAACTGGGCAGTGTTTACCTTAGTTTAGGAGAATATGAGAAAGCTATTGACTATTGCGAAAAAGGCTTGGAATTGAGTCGTGCTATTGGTGATAAGACAGGAATAGCAACTGGGAATGGCAATTTGGGCAATGCTTACCTTAGTTTCGGAGAGTATGAGAAAGCTATTGACTATTACAAAAAGGGTTTAGAAATGAGTACGGCTATTGGGGATAAGTCAGGCATAGCAAGAAACAATGTCAATTTGGGCATTGCCTTCCTGAGTTTAGGAGAATACGTGAAAGCTATTGATTACTTGGAAAAAAGTTTAGAAATGAGTACTGATATTGGCGATAAATCAGGAATAACAAGTGCGAATGCCTGTTTGGGCAGTGCTTATAGAGGCTTGAGAGAATATGAAAAAGCTATTGACTATTTTAAAAAAAGTTTAGAGATGAGTGCTGATATTGGCCGGAAGTCAGCAGTTGCCTGTAACAATAGCAATTTAGGCGATGTCTACGTTGAAATTGGAGATTATGAAAAAGCCATACACTCTTTCAAAACTAGTTTAGAAATGACTACTGTCATTGGCGATAAGTTAGGAATAGCACATAATAATGGCGGTTTAGGCATGGCTTATCTTAAATTAGGAGATTATGAGAAATCCATTCACTATTGCAGAAAAGGTTTGGAAATGAGTACTTCTATTGGTCATAAGTCAGGAATACCAACAAACACTGGCAATTTGGCAAATGCCTACATTAGTTTAGGAGACTATGTGAAAGCCATTGACTATTGCGAAACAGGCTTGGAATTGAGTCGTGCTATTGGCGATAAGACAGGAATAGCATCTGGGAATGGCAATTTGGGCAATACTTACCTTAGTTTCGGAGAGTATGAGAAAGCTACTGACTATTACAAAAAAGGTTTAGAAATGAGTACGGCTAAAGGGGATAAGTCAGGCATAGCAACGAACAATGTCAATTTGGGCATCGCCTACGTTAGTTTGGGAGAATACGTGAAAGCTATTGATTACTTCGAAAAAGGTTTGAAAATCAGTACTGATATTGGCGATAAATCAGGGATAGCAGGTGCGAATAACGGTTTGGGCATTGCTTATAGATTCTTGGGAGAATATGAAAAAGCTATTGATTATGAAAAAAAGTGTTTAGAAATTAGTGTCGCTATTGGCGATCAGTTAAATATAGCAATGGTCAATGGCAATTTGAGCGATACTTATAGATGTTTAGGACAATATGAAAAATCCATTGAGCATTCCAAGAAAAGTTTAGAAATCAGTACTGCCATTGGCAATAAGTCAGGAATAGGGAATAGCAATTGCATTTTGGGCAATGCTTACCTTAGCATTGAAGAATGCGAGAAAGCTATTGACTACTACAGAAAGGCATTAGAAATTAGTACTGGTATTAGCGATATATCTGGAATAGCCATTCAGAATGGCAATTTGGGCAATGCCTACCTTCGATTAGGAGAATATGAGAAAGCCATTGACTATTACAAGAAAGGTTTAGAAATAAGCATTACCATTAATGATCCGTCACTCTTAGCAAGTAGTAAAAGTAATTTGGGAGATGTACATCGATGTTTAGGACAGCATGAAAGTGCAATATCATGTTTAATGGAATCTATCAGCATCTTTGACAAAATATTTTTAAACTCAGTACCAGACCAAAATAAGTTGTCATTCACTAAACAATACTTTACCGACCATGTAATGATGATGGGTTGCTTAATTTCCCTGGGGCGCATTGAATCTGCATTATTAGTCATTGACCTCGGAAGGGCTAAAGAACTTCATTGCTCCATTGAAAGAAAGAATAAATCTTTGAATACAAAAATGTTCGATTATGCAAATGCGGGATGGAAGAGAATCAAGAACAGTGAAGAAGAGGTAGAAATAGAAGAATTACAGAGCATCCTCCAGGTAAGCAGTAACGATACTTCCATTATAGTATTTGCTTTCGATTTGCAAGGTTTTCTCAATGTTTGGGTGTTAAATGAAGAAGTAATCTTTAGAGTATCAAAATCAGAAGCACGATTGGAAACATTTGTGCAACTGATAAGTGAATTATTCAGAATGGTGAATGTGAATGTTAATCGGGATTCTTCGTTTTTCAAACTCGATTCAATGGCCAGTATTCATGAAAAATCTATTCTTCCTTTGGACGTTTTTAAAGAAAAATCTCCGTCTAAAATTCTTTTTAAAAAACCTGCTTTTGGACATGATGATTTAAACCAAGACGGTATTTTGAAAACATTGTTTAAACTGCTGATTGACCCTGTAAGCGATGTGATTAAAGGCAATAAGCTTATAGTTGTTCCTGACAAGCAATTGTTTTTTGCCCCATTTTCGTCATTGATTGATGAAAATGGTTGCCATATTTATCCCACAGTTACAGCATTCAAGTTACGCCATCATTACACACTCTAAGGTTTAGCATTGAACGCTCTCAAGATCTGGGCCTTGGTTTTGCGTTGTTTGTTGGTAATCCAACCGTTGGAACGGTTTCCTTAAATGGAAAAGAATTTTCTCCCCATGCCCTACCAAATGCTGCTCGAGAAGTTGAATGTCTTTCAAAGCTCTTCAATGCTAGACCCTTAGTGGGGCGTGAAGCTAGAAAACAGGTTGTACTGGATCTTTTATCTGGGGCTAGCATAATCCATATCGCTGCTCACGGTGAACAACTTCGAGGTGAAATAATGCTTTCCCCTAACGTTTCCTCGACTCGGCCAACTTCGACTCTTCCTTATCCAGACGACTACCTTCTCTCACAAAAGGATATTATAAATACTTCTTTGCTAGCTAGCTTGGTAGTTTTATGCTGTTGTCATACTGGGCAAGGTGAGATTTCTTCCGAAGGTGTCATAGGTATTGCTCGGGCATTTATTGCAGCCGGCGCTCGCACTGTTCTCGCCACACTATGGCGTATTAGTGATGATGCCACGAAAGAGTTTATGGAAGTATTTTATCGTGAGTTGTGCCAGGGAACATCTGTTTGTGAAGCACTAAGAAAAACAAAGAATCTCTTTCAAAAACACCAAATCCAGGCTTACCGGTCTTACACAATCTGGGCCCCATTTACCATCTACGGGGAGGACGTGGTTTTTCAGAAACATGACATCGAAAATATCAGAGATAAATCGCGTGACATGTTCTCTGGTTTTGTTGTATTACCGTAAGGTTTGTAAGTATAATAATTATATAGCTTTGTTTAACCAGTATCGGACTTGAAATATTTTGTTTTTTAAATCAATATAAATCAAAATCAAAGTGTGATAGTGCGTTGGACGAAATACGATTAGTATGCAGTTTTGCAGTTATCGTCAAGCCGTAAGTATGTACAATTTCAATTCAAAATGTGATTTAATTAAGCCTTGTCCGCACTTTAGTTAATTGCAAGAATTCCCTATCCCAATTATTTGCATACTTATTTGCTGGTCCCATGAAGGGGAATAGCATTTTCTTGCAACTTGCATGAACCAGGCTTTCATCCCTTCGTTATTGGCGTTGCGTAAGTTCTTGAATTTCGGTCCTTAGGTATCGGGCTAGTCAGGATTAAATGTTATATGTTGGATATCATTTCAGTGTTAAAACAATACGCTATAGCAAGCAGATATTCTATTATTTTTCTCCACTCATCATCAGTTTACATCCAATAGTTATATTCTTGAAAAAAAGGGGGGTGGCTGCCTGTATGAAATTTTAACTGATGGAAGCAGCACTTTATTTGACTTTGCAGATTAAATTTTTTCTGCAAGAATTTGAACTTGCTCCCAGAAATAAATATAGCTACACTAGCTTAATGCATGCGCTGACGAAAAAATTCACTGGGAGAAAAACAATTGCAAGCTAACACCGTCCTCTTAAGCGTTTCCGAGATATAATTTGGTACATGTATGTGCATGTAGCAAATAAAGTGCATGTGGCAAATTATGTCTGGAAAAGTTAACCTTCGATATTATAAGTTTGCGAAATTCCATATTTTTTCTACGATAACACAAAATGTTTAATTTATATGCGGCAGCTTCCAAGGTTAAGTAATTTTAATTAAGGAAACTTAGTTTAGTAAAAAAGCTAAAATTATTTATCAATTTACTTTTTATCTGTGATTTTCTGTTATTGCAATCAGAATTATATTTATACCAATAAATGAATCTAGTTTGTAAATTTGATAGATCTGCATTTTATTAAACATGGTTACTTTCACAAAGCTCTTCAGACAAAACTTGGGAACACGCTAAACATAAAATAGTATTTCTATCAAGTTTAAAAAGACTGAAAATTGTAAAACCTATGTACCTACCTACTATAATGAATGAGGTTTTCAAAGCATGCTTAAACTTTCAACAAGAAAGAGGAGAATTGTTTTACAACGTTGTAAACATCAAACTCTTTCAGATAATATAACTTGATACTTATTTATAGATAAGAAATAACATACATTTTAGCCAACATTCTAAAACCGAGTGGACCGACATCACGCGTATTGTATTGATGTGTTTCCGCAATGAAGACGGACGTAAAAGTATTAGAGGATCATCGATGCGGGGCAGTGATAAGCACTTGAACTTGCAACGCCGAAAACATCGTTAAAAACATATGAGATAGTTCAATATTTTATTTTATTTGGAAAAAAGGATAACATCAATCAAACCGATCTACCTTCTACGACCTAGTAGAACACTCGTGACATTTGTTATAACAATTGTTGATAAACGTCTTCACAGTTATTTCACCGGCGTAACAAAAATCGGACAAATTAAAACAAAAATTGGTTGACATACGAAAGTTAGAAATCAGCAAAACTGCAATAACAATTATTTTACATTGAGAAAATGAATACACCTTCAAACCATCATATGGTATACCGTGATCATGCCACTTACTGAAATAGAAAAGGAAAGCAATAAAATCAAAATATGTTACAAGTGTTAAAGTATTGGACAGGTGAAGGGTTGGGTATTGTGACAGTGCTTCAGTCGACTAAACGATATATATCCATGCGTGTTTTTGTTGGCTTCATTTGTTGCTTCCTTATTTATAATCACACCAAGCAAGTGGTTATTGATCTTGTGCTTTAAATAAATCACCTTCACAATAAATCACACTCGAAATTTTGTACAAATTGTGATCATAACTGGCCAAGTGTATTTAAGGAATGGAAGCGGATATGGATTTGAAAGGTTTTTGTTTCATCTATATACTGGGTGGAACCTTTTCAAACACTTTCATTAAAGGACCGTTATAGCGACCATGTGCGTGCGGATATGCCGTTCAGTAGCGTTGTACGAGAAGAGACATCACAAGCAAGAAAGTACGAAAAGAAATGTGCCAGTACACAAATTAAGTGGTTGAAGAATGTTGGTCGTAATGTTTATAGAAAATCAGTTAAACTTAAATATTCAATTTTCAAAGTATTAATCTAAGATAAAGGGTTTTAGAATTGAGAAGATGTAGCCATGCACATATGTTTCTAATAAGAAAGTGTTTTTTTCTCATTCATTTCATAAATTACATTTAACCGATGAAAAATAATTATCTGCATGTGCCTGTATTACTGTCTCGTCAAAAGTTTTTGAAAGTGAGTCATTGTTTATTTTCAGTCTCTATATTCGTCTCGCATTCTAACACCTTTTTATCTTCTAATATTGTCATATACTGCGATATGTTGCGAGGAAGATGATTAGAGCAAATAATAAAATAGTATAAGTAGAAACAATTGTTATAACCTGCAAGCTTCCAATTGCAAAAGTCAAGACAATTTTGAAGCTTAAAAAGTTTAGGCATTCAATGATTAACGACATAGAATAAACGTAAATTATAAATATTGTACCCTAAATTACTAAGTTAGCAAATGTAATTACTATATTCTATGTAGTACGTATCAACGTGTTATAAGTCTTTTATTTTCTACGCGAGGTAGGAGATCTTTTACAATTGTTAACTAATGTTCATTAATGTTAGTTTCTGGCTTCGTTCTTCTCTTCTCTTCGAATTCTTCGTCCTTTCGGACCTCGTTGTTTTCTGTTCTTGTCTTTGGTTGTTAGTCATGTAAAGTTGAGCTTCCTAATGTTTCACATGCTTTTTACTCCGCTAGTCCACTGAGGGGTTGTGCACGCCCTTTTATAGTAACGGTTGAGGGAAACTTGTAGACGTCAACAACCAGAGTGGGCTGATCCTTATCCAACCAATCAGCGTTGTAAGTTAGAAATGTGGGTTGGTCTTAGAAGCTCGTTCTAGCTCTCATATCTAGTTTGTTTAAGGCGTTGTCGCACTAGTCGAGTTGGTGTTCTGCTCAATCGATCAATACTTAAAAATGTTCACAACTTAAAATATTTATCATCAACAACTAGTAAAATTTACAAACAATACGTCTGTGAACAATATCTTTCAACTTAAACTATTTTCACTCTTATTTTGTCGAATTGAACTTTTGATGACGTAATCTATTACATGCTTGACCGCGCAACATTTTTAACACGATTGATTGATATAAGAACTTGAATGGCCTACAGCGCGCACATTTTTTATAAAAATACGACCATTAAGATAAGTGACGACTTAAGACTGTTTATCCAGGTATTAGTTCTGAGAGGATTATAAATATTTTCACCTTATTACTTATTTAATCCCACGATGCATGAAAGGGAAAGGCGATTAATGTTTGCTAATGGTCGAAATTATATTTACTCAGGCGTCTGTGGCAAAAATCATTCACTAATCCCTGTCATGCTATTGATATTCCTATTTTTACTGCTATTTTTATATGCATATCTCTAAACTCAATAAAGCCTTGCGTAACAAACGCATGCTTTAAAGTTCGTTTTTCATGGATATTTTATTACATTATTTTATTTTATTGCAATAATTAAATACAACAATAAAAAGGTAGTCAATATAAAATCTCAGCTGACGGGGAAAGAAAGGGCTCACGTACGTCTAGAAAGTTGACTTTAACCTCTTTAAACCCCCCCCCCATTGGGACCTCTGCTTTCTAGTCCTGTAAGCCACGCCCTCACGCGTCAACCCGAAGAGTTTTTTTGCTGGCAGAGCGAGGTTCAAAGGTTAAGCATTGAAGTTTAACGTAACAAGAGGCCTCATTGCCAATGTTTTATTTACAACTTTTGAAGCGATAATGTAATGTCACTGAAAAACCTCTCGTCGTTTCGCGTCGTCGGTAGTACGTTAGGGAGGTTATGATCGACTTCCGCTACGAGTAACGATAGCAATATTCAATCAGGCAAATGCGCGGACGTAACAATCGTCCAAAATGTGATAACACTGGAAGTCGCGAGTACCGTTTTGGGGCTGAAAATGGTAGTGGGTAGGTAGGCAAAGAACCGAAATTCTATTAACTGTATTATTGTCATTTTCTGCAGTAGTTTTCTAATAATATTATTTAGTTATTAATTGTATAATGTTTCTTGCTTTGTTTGGTAAGACTTAAGGATTGTGATTAGAGTTTTTGATGTGAATTTAGCCGCTATACTCCCCCATGTTTGTTTACAAATGGTCACAGACCGGACGCGAAGCGACAACGCGACGCGAATTTTGAGTTTTCAGAAGCATGTAAATTAAATTCTGGAAGATAAATTTGGAATCAATGGACGCAGACCAGTCAAAATGAATTATTGTTGAAACATCCTGCGCACGGCCTTGCCATGCAATAATCATGTAGTGTTGCTCGTACAATTGGGGTGATTAGAATACTACACGTGATGTTTCAAATTTGGGAAAATTGAACTCGCCCTTCCCGCTCTTCTAAATTTGATAAATATTTCAAACATTACTCGTACTATTATTTTGGTAGTTACTCTACAACTGCACAGGATCATTTTTCAATGGATTTGTGGAGTGGAGTTTCAATGGAGTGGATTTGATCTTGCATACAAAGTGTCGGCGTCGTAGTCCTTGATGTGCAAATTATCATTATTCATTTCTGCATAAATTATTTATTTTCATAATCAAGATGCACTAAAATATTAGTATAGCAGGACTAAATTGTCAGGCCGCATTGCTACGTCACTGCAATCTGTACTTATCAGTGTTTGTAGATATTTTAATGGTATATAAGCGCGAAAATGAACGGAGTCAATGGGTCAAAATTAAGAAATCCATCGGGCAGAACAGTGTATATGAATAATCCGCCCCCCGAAATCCGTATAGTTTTACCCCCCAT